CCATTGTATACGCCAATAAGTCACAGCCATCTGTGTTATATTATAGAACACTAGGAGACTTGTTTGTGATTGTGCATATAGATGCTCAAGTACATGTCTACTCTCAAGCATCCAGACAGTTAATATAAGTTAATAAATAATTAAAACTTTTTTCTGAAGTGGGAGAAACTATAGCCGACAATAGAATTTCTTGAGAAGTTATGTGTTCTGGAGTAAGGAAACAAATAAAATCCTCAAGCTGCCCCCAACTTGTCTACAGGTTCTGCTACATACAGCGGGCCAATGGTAATGTTGGTAGCTCGTATCCTCTCTGAATCTTTTATATAATGGAAATCATCAGAATACATTGTACCTAGGGGTACTCAAAATTTGATTACCATATTCTTTTAGGATTGTCTACATCCCAGTACCCTGTGGTGTCGTGTAATTATACAGGTGACCTGGGGGTTTATGTGTCTACATGGGTAACCCTAAGATTAGTGACTAAGATTACACGGGTAACCCTGAGCAACCTTGAAATTACTTTCAATAAGGTTACTTATGTAATACCAGTTGTGATTTCAGGGTTATCTGTGAAGATGATCTGCACAGACTCTAGGATCACTTGTGTAATTACGCCATATCACAGGATACCGGGATGTAAATAATCCTTTCTTTTACCATTGCGTTTCCCTGGAAGCATCATTAGAATGTATTTATTTTAGTTCTTGAACTTGGAAATCATGAAAAAACCTTTTCAAACAATGTCTTCATGATTTCAACTCCATCCATGCCTATGCCTTATGCTTTGGTTTTGAGATATTCGCATGTCCTTGTAACAACGATCAATACTCTTTTAGACCTTTTTATAGTGCTTGATAACCAAGATAATTTTTATAGAAAAAGTCCATAAGAATAAGATGCCGATCAAAGATAGTAAGATGCCCCTTTAGTCACAAATTAACATGTTCAGTTATGTGCATATGGCAAAAACAATTATCGCTGACGTTAATGTTCTGACAGGGAAAGGAGATTAAGAATAAACCTCTATCATCAATATGGCACTATCAGTCCCAGCCATTATCAAATCCAACTCAGATGACTCCATGTCTTTGGTAGTTGGGTTGATGATGAATCGACCGCCAACAAGACCAACTCTAACACCTGCAATTATCTTGGAGCTTGGAACTTCTGATAGAGCTCTGCATGAGAAAACCAAACAAGAACATTGCTAACTACGATAAATGAAAGTGCTTTCACATCTGAATGGGACTTACAGCCAAACAGTCAGGGGAATGAATGCCATCATAGCTAAAAACCTATATCATGAGAACTGAAGTTACAAATATGATGCATATTACACGTACATGCTTCAAGTGGCAGGACATGTAAAGACCTCAGTAACCATATAAAAGCTACTTGTTTGCAAAGCAGCTCCAAGACTGATACAAAGGACTTGTCATCATTTAGAACCTCAGGTATCTGTTCGTAAAACTTTGCTAATCACATTCCAACATAATTTCAAAAATAAGGGGGGAAATAAAGAATGATATGGTATCGACTAGTTTTGGCATGCATTCCCTCCTTCCTAGAAGACCAAAAGAACAAATATCACAAGTTTATGTTCCATTTATGATCAGCACGTGCAAGGGACGTGGGGGGAGGGGGGTAAGAAATTGAAACCAACTTGAAATGTGCAAAATAATGAAGCTTCTGATAGAGGGAAAATGAAAATGAAAGCATAGATATTGTATGTAAATGTTAAGCAACATACCCATGATAATATTTGTGTTTCATGGTAGAAACCCTTTGGCATGGTTGGACGCAATGGCCTGTCTATCAATCTGCAAATAAGGACCTGCATGAGACAATTTGATGTCAAATAAGTTATGCTAACATAAGTATTTATCTTTAGGTAAATTTCTCACTCTTCAGTTAGCAGCAGTTAAGTTGGTCATAACTTTAAATATGATATTAAAACAGAGAGTATTTGGCACTCCGGAATTTTCCTTTAGAGAAAATCTTGTTCCCAATCATTTTACATCTTTGTAATAGTAGAATTACGAGTATTGCCTTTTGATTACATGACCATAAACTATATAGCCAAGAAATGCTGAAACATATCCAGTTTTCTTAAGCCTGAAACAGCCAATAGGCTCATTCTGTTGGAGGTAATGGGTACTTAAGTATCAGAGATAACAATCAGAAAGTTTCTCAAGATATAGTCAGGTAACAAGATATAACATTCACAAAAAAGCTGCACAAGGCTGAACATTAATAGACCAAATATCATCTAGTAGGCTGACCTCATGATCCTTTGCCCGGCCTTCCCGTTTGAAAAACCCACCACTGACAAAACCAAGACAGCAATAAGAATAGTATGTATAATAAGCTTCGGAAAATAACTAAGAGAAACGCAACATAAAAGAAGTGAAATATTCGCATATACCTGGTTCGACCAGCAGCAGACAGACGCTCTTGATAATTCACTGTAAGAGGGAAGAAATCTGAGGGCTCACTCGGGGTGTCAGCTAAACAAACTGATGAATATACTATCTACAAGAATTGAAACAGAAAAGGAAAGTCAGTGAAATTATAAAAGGAAAACACTCTAGACTTCGAGTCAAGAATAAAATTACTCATGTTCCAACTAATTCAAGCAGAAATTCTTTAGCGGGACACACAACACTTACAGTTTCCCCATCAGTGACTGTAACTGATGCACTTGCTTGCCTCCCAATATGACCCGTCTCCACTAAAATCTGCAATGACCAACATTTCTTCGGTCAAAAAATTCTTCGAAATGAGATTTTTACACCAAAAATTCGAGTAAACTGAGAAAACTGCTCACATGTCGATCGCCCACCGGAATCTCGACCGAGAACCGCTGCGGAACAGGGATGGACCCGACATCGTCGGAGATTTCGGCCGAAACTTCGTTAGAAACCCTAACATTTTGCCGGCGCCGCCGCCTCCGGTTCAGTGAAGGAAAAGATGATAATAGATGATGCTTTCTTGAAGAGAAAAGAAGGTTTCTGGGTTTTAGGGATTCGGAGAGGGAGGAAAAGAGAGGAGGAGGAGCGAGGCCATGGATGCTGATGCTAGGGTTTGCTAGCATTTCTTTGTTGAGGTTTTGGAGGTTTTTTGGGGTTTTTTGGGGTTTTTTTTAGTTGAAGAAGAAGAGGAAGAGGGAATTGGGAGCCAATTTCCGCGGCTTTATCTTATCGGGGGATTATTTTATCTTTTTTCTATTTTTTTCCCCTTCCTTTATTTATTTATCTTGGCTAATTAGCATTTAAATACCTCATAGTGTATTATAGTTTGCACTCATATGCCCTAAAGTTTTTTAAAATTTGAGAATTTTCAACCAAATGTTTGTTAGACCCTAATGCCACTAGGAAAGAACCTAGAGGAAGGGTGAATAGGATTTATGCTAATCTAATCCGATTTAATATTGATAAAACTAATTAATAAATATCCTAGTAAAATAGATATGCAATGAATTATGAGCAATGATAAGCAATATAAATAAGAGTAAACAAAATAGTGGACAATATAAACAAAGAGGCAATGGCTAAATAAGATAAACAAAAAGAGTGCGCCAATGCAAACTCAAACAAACAATATGATCACGGAGTTCGGACCTTCAGTTCTACGTCTCCGCTCCCCACTCCCGGGGAGAAATCCACTATTACACCGTGTTTTCGACGCTCACCCGAAAACGTTAACACCTCACACTCGGTTTTCTAGATCACCAAAAATTTTACAATCAACACTCTTGTAATCACACTCTATATCCTCTAAGTGTTGGTCTCTAGCCCGTGTCTCCCTCAAGTGCTCGGATTTACAACATCTCTCTAGGCTTTACTACCGACGTCACTCCTCGTGGGACGACCCTGTCTCTCACCACACACCCCTCTCGGTGTATAAGTGTATTACAAAGTGTATCCTCACAATAAACGCTCAAGTACAAAGTTTTGTTCTCTACTATGGATGAGAACTCAATTAAGGCTCACTCTCATTGTCACAATCCCACAACCCCAATATATACTATGTATACGAATACAATAAGCTCAATAGATTGTGTGTGAACAATGAGTATAAATCAAAATCAAACTAAACTCAATATAAACTCTAGCTTAAAGAAATGAAAATCAAACATATAAATAGCTAGATAAGAATTTAGAAAAACTTCTCTAGATGACAAGAGAGAGAGGGAGAAGAGTTGAATGCTCAAACACCAATGGATGATCTCCTCAAGCTCTTGTGAAATTTTCTTCACAAATAAACTCTTGAAACAAACACTAAAACAAACTTAAAACCCTCTTAAACTTGTTTAAAACTTTCTTTTTTTTTAAGAATGTTAGAGGGCAAGAGGTATATATAGGATGATAATACAAAGCCCAAAAACCAAGAAAATCCAGTAAAAGGACAAAAAAAGGAAACTCAACAAACTAGAAAACTAGCCGTTATGAGGTCGTCGGTCGACTAATATTGTTCGTCGGTCGACTAATGAGCTGACCGTTACAGGCCAGCAAACACCTCATCAGACGACTGATAAACTCGTCCGTCGACCGATGACCTCGTTAGTCGACTGATCAGTCGACTAAATAAGAAACATAAACAAATGATGATTCCAGGTGTTTTCATCAGTCGAGTGATAACATAATATCAGCCTGATTAAAAACAGAAAATCTGATTTTTGAAGTGTCTTTAAAAATAGCAAATAAATTCTAAAAAATATAAAAATTTGGGAAATGATTGTAAACATGCAAATGAACATGTTACAAAAAGAATTTTTAGAATTACACATTCCGTTTATAAAATATCATCATTTTTCAAAACTAGTCCAAAACATGAAAAATACAAAACACTTGTTTTTTTCCATTTTGACTTAAACAAACTTTTGAAACTTTATCAAATGATTTTATAGACTTAATAAAAGATGTAAATAATAATTGTTAAGTGCATAAACATATATATATATATATATATATATATAAGAAATCAAAACTTGTATGTGTGTATGTGATTGAGCTTAAAGTATCAACACACATAATATAAACCCTAAACTAATTTACCCAAGCTATAGGTCTTCAATAAGCTCGACTTGGTAAACTGCGGATGAAGCTTGAACTAGGATCTTGACTTGAATGTGCAAGGCTTCATATCGATATTTCTTCCATCCTCTAATGGATATGATCGTGAATGCTCGATTTCATCCAACCTCTAACTCATTGTTTGCCTAAAATAAATAAAAAAATATAAACACTAGACAAATAATATTAGTTATAAATTGTTTGTTAAAACATCATCAAAACAGAAAGGCCAACAATCTCCTCCTTTTTTATGATGACAAAATGTAAAACCCCAAAAAATTTAAATATTTTGTGATAAATAATAATAAATATGTTATATATTTATAAATAATATATTATGATGTTAGAGTATGCTAGGAATTAGTTTGAGATCAATTCAATGTATATATGTATATATATAAGAGCAAATGCACAATTCATGCTCGATGTATAAATCTGGAAATTTATGACCAGCGAAGAGATTTTGTATTTCTCTCACAGATGTAGTTAGAATTTGGAAAACATAAAATACAAAAGTTGTAGGTATCTTTAATATATTTCTAACAAGTCTTAGATCACCTCATTCTGAGTTCGGACGTGAAAGTTATGACCAAAATATCGAAGGTCATTTTCCTAGTCAGATTAGGATTCCTGGTTCGGGTCAAACGAGTTTATTTCGGGTTTGCATATATATAAACATGTATTTTTAAGAAAATTAACATACTTACATCAGAGTTTCAAACCCTAGCAGCCCCTCTTCCTCTCTCTGAATCCCTAGCCCTAAAGTTGTGAATTTTGAGAGCTTTGTGAAGCAAATATCGACACGAGGGCGAGATCATCAACGTGTAGCAAGGGGAAAACGGCTTGGTTGTATTTCTTTTTTATTGCTGGTTATTTCAGAGGCTTAGAAAGATATCTAAGGCAAGATTATCTTCATCCAAACCCTTCCCCATAGTTAAATAACTAGTTAGATGTTTAATATGATGTTGAATATGTGTTTTCATGCTTGAATCTTAACATGATGTGATAAAAGTTAAATTTTTGATATTAAAACATAAACCAACGCTAGATTAGTAATTTTTTTTCTTTCTGTTTATGATAGTATCATGATCATGATCATTAGCATTTTTCATAATTTCATTTATATATGAGAAATTTAAGAGATGTACTAAATAAATATTTTCTGCAGAAAACTTCAGCAATTGTATCATGTTTAACTGAGATTTCGAAATAGAAAAATAAACTCCAAATTTAACCAAACCAGTGCCAAATAAAAAAATATATGTATCTAGTTTCTAAAACAGAAGACTAATCTTAAAAATATATTGTATAGAGAAAGATATGTTATATTTACTAACAACATGTCCTGCAGAAAAACAGATACACATATATAATGTTTAACTGGAGATTTAGGATAACAAATGAACTCCAAATTGAACCAAACTTATGTCATTTGAAAGATGTATGAATCTAGTTTTCAAAACATAAAACCATTTGTAAAAATAGTTTTCCTAGAGAAAGATATGTTTGTTTTAGTAACAGATGTCACGTCTGTTTTTTCTGCTCGTTTTGTGAAGCTGTGTTGTGCCGTTTTGAGGTGCGTTCGCGGAGTTTTGAGCCGCTTGATGTTACACGTTTAGTCATGAATATGTTATGTTATATATTTAAGAATCCTAAGGGTATTATGATAAATTTTTATTTGATCATATTTGAATTAGATATAGATCATATACATGTTGGATGTCGTTTATGAGCACAGCTCAGTACTATATGAGATAGTGCGTCGACATACCAAATATACATGGTTTATACATGAGCTGAATGTTGTTGATGAGCATATCTTAGTACTATATGGGATAGTGCGTCGACACACCTAAGATACAAAGATTTATATGAGGTGGATATCGTTGATGAGCTCAGTTCAGTACTACATGAGGTAGTGAGTCGATATTCCATATATACAGGCCATTGAGTCGGATTTTAGGAGGATTGATCTAGCCGTCCGTCCCGCACTAGGGTGCGATGAGGCTCGTGAGCCGTATTTCTAGGATGCCTATTTGGTAGTCTGTCCCGCACTCATGTTATACACTGAGATCGCGATGAGACTAATGAGCCGTGTACACAGTTCAGGACACCTACAGGGTAGTCCGTTGCACTGAGACAATTACTTGATAGCCTAAGTATGACAGATACCGATTTTGAATACGACCTATCATTGAACTATATGACTGAGATATGTTACTTTTGAAAGTATACAAAATTATGTATTAGTATTTTATTCTATCTCTCCAGTGATAGTGGAAGATATTATAAATACGATGTGTTGATATCTTATTTCTTTTACTGTCCTTTTTACTTCTTAGTTATGATCAATGATTAGAGATTCACAACTTGAGACTTATGGTATATACATGAGGGTTTCCTTGTTTGAATTATTTCGCTCGACGTACCAGTCTCGTGTTATGGATTTCTAATTATTGGTTTTATTAGATTGTCTTTTCTTAGTTCGGTATTAATGTTTAGATATCTACAATTTGAGACTTATGGTATATACATGAGGGTTTCCTTGTTTGGATTATTTCGCTCGACGTACTATGTCTCGTGTTGTAGGTTTCTAAATGTTAATCCCACTTAGATACGAAAAAAAATGAATCTAGGTAGACTATGCTTTATAGATAGAGCCTCCACTCTATCTAGCAGCCCTTCCCCTGGGGACGGATGGAGGTAATCTTGCTGTAGCGCTCTGACGCTCTTGTTGTTGTTTCTTTTTCTTTTAAAAATACCCATTCAGATAGCTCAGAGTTCTGGAGAGCCGCAGGGTGACGGAGTTCCGGCATAGTCGCCGTCGCGTATTTTTTACTTGTAGAGACTCCACGGTAGTTTTAAATTTTATTCAGACTTAGAGTTTATTTTCATATTGTAAAGGCAGTGTGCCTTAGTACGATTCTTAGTTGATTCATGTTGAGACATTTTTATTATTTAGATATCAGATGTATTATAGTTGAGACATGATTCTTTTTATTTATGAGATATCTCTTCTATATCATGTCTATTACATTTATTCCCTTTATTTTGCCTGTTTGTACCTGCACTTCTATTTGGTTCTACTAGAGGATATTACTGTGATTGGTGAAACATGTTTATGCACA